CCCAAGATCTTCTTGTGCTTCTTGCGGGCGATGCCCACGAGCAGTTCCGCAACCACGCTGCAGCGAAGCTCGCCCCCCACGACGCGCGGGGAGAAGCGCTGGTCCGCCGGCGCGCCGCCGGCCTCCTTGCCCCCCCCCCCCCATGCACTTGCAGGTGCCCTCCAGCCTTGGAGGCCCACTTCCTGGACCTGGCCGCGCAGCCGTTGACGCAGAGCTCGACGAACTCAGCGAAGGTGAGCTCCTCGGAGTAGTCGTCGATGGCCTCCATGAGGTCCAGCACCTCGTCGTTGGCACAGGTGCGCTCGCCAAAGAGCTAGCTGCCTGCCTTTAGCTTCATAATATATGTCCTCGCCCAGGGATCCACGATTGCGACGGAGAGGGAAGGCCATGGTCGTCTCGAACTCTGACTCGAAAAAGGCGAGGTCGTAGAAGCGCATCTCCTGGGATGCCATGCCGGCGACGGCCTCAGCCGCATACGGGCGACCCAAAGCCTCTGCGAAGGAGGCGCCCCTAGGCTCCTCAAGCGGGCGCGCTTGAGCCCAGAGAACATGATCGCGACTGCGCTCATTCCGCGCTATTTTCATATCCGATGCGGTCTCACCGCCAGCATCATCATCATCATCCTCATCATCACCATCACCATCACCAGCATCAGCATCAGCATCATCATCCTCATGATACGCTGTTTCGTTTGGCGGAGCAACGAGTTCTGAAAACGATGGCCCGCTGCGATAAGCGAGCTGCCACTCTAGAGCTCTGGCCAGCGCCCACTGGCCCCCGAAGAAAAACACTGGCTTTCGAAGCCCTGAAATGCGAGGCCCCGACTTTGGGCCAGGCGGGCTGGGTGGGCCAAAACGAACTGCAAAGCATGCGATGGCGCGCGACCCTGCTACCCCGCTCTGCCGCTGACGCCACGACACCACACTCCCCGCTAATCATGTCCGCGCACGCATCCCCCAGGATACGCTGTTTCGTTTGGCGGAGCACCGAGTTCTGGAAACCATGGCCCGCTGCGATAAGCGAGCCTCTCCACCAGAGCTCTGGCTGGGGCCCACTGGCCCCCGAGGGAAAACACTGGCCTTCGAAGCCCGACAACCCCCCCCCAAAAAAAAAAGGAGAGAAAAAAAAACTCGCGAGACTAATTCTCCCACGCCTTCCACGGAGTTGCGCGCGCGGGAGATCTGCCCTTGCGCGCCGACGGGTATCGCTCCAACAAACTTTCTCTAGCCTAGCAATGTCATCTGGCCAACCGCCAATGAGCATGCATCGACAACGGTGTTTCCAAGAGGTCCCAAACATGCATCTATCACTGACTATGTTACACCTGGAATCATTTGGAAGTTCGCAAAGCCTTGGCGCATGATATCTCCATAGCCTGCTGCCCTCCAGCACCCCAAGCAAGACAGGCACATTGGTTCGCCAGGCAACAGCGGCCATTCTGGCCAGTCTCTCCGAGAAGCGCTGCAGCTTAAAGCGCTGAAAAATATTCCCTGTGGCCATACTGGAGCCGGCTATGGAAGGGGAAACAAACATCACAATGGCTTCTTCGCGCCTGACGCGCGCAAGCAAACGGCGCCCAGGAGGCGCGCCGAGCCCACCATCGCACGGAACTCTGCTTCCCCAGATCCAGGCAGGCGCGCCGTCAGCTGCAAGCCGCGGCCCCGCGCCGCCCAGCTTGTCGCCGATCAGGGGCGCTTTGCCGCGCTGGGCGAGGGCTGGGAGCCTCCTGGCGGCGGCGCCGCGCGGCCCCAAACGAAGGCGCGCTCCAGCTCGCGCAGGCACTGGTCGCCGTGGGCCAGCAGCGTCGCGCTGCGTGTCTGAGTGCCTGGCCCAGGCGAGCGCCCTTCTCGCGCCGCGCCATGCTCCTCGACTGGCGCCAGCCGCCTCTGCGCTGCACCCCCGCCTGGCTGCGCTCGCCACTGGCGCGGTCGATGCTCGCGCCCGAATGCCTCGCCTGGCGGGGCGTAATGCGACGGAGCTGGAGGCGCTGGCGCGCGTCCTTCATCTGGCGCAACAGCTGCGGGCAGTCGAACGCCCAGACTGGCTGGCGAGGGCCCCAACGCTGCATGTCGCCGAGAACGGAGCCAAGAATAACAGAAGCCACGACGAGTCGAGCCTCGCGCTGAAGTCGAACTCCCCCACCTTGTCGGCCGTCGCGCGCCCCCGAGGGCGCATCTGCAGCCCCGAACGCGGGCTGCCATTGCAAGGCCTCACGATATCCCCAGGGCGCAGCCTGAGGAGCGAGGACGGACGCAAGTAGGTCGAAACAGCCATCGCCAGGAACACCGCCATCATGCGCCGACCACGCAGCACCAGACCATGCATCAGGGCACACCAGATGATCAGCGGCTCGGGCATCCTGGCCCGCCCAGGCGCAGGCCGCCCCCAGCCCCTCAGCGCCTTCCACATACGAGGCAGCGCCTCTGCCCTCAGCTTCCCGTACTTCGGGTAGAAGTGGTTCACCGCCGCCGTCGCGCGCGCGCCTGTCGAGGCCTGCTCGCCCTGCAGGTAATTGGGCGCGAAGTCATGGACTAGGCGGGCATCCATCGTCTCCGACGGCAGCTCGAAAAAGTCCTGGCGGCCATACCTCTCCTTGAGCTGCTCGAACACCCTCTGGCACTGAGCTCGCGCCCGCGGAGTCGCCGTGCTGGGCCCCAGGCAGCGGTCGATCGACACCCCGTCTGCTATCGCTCGCACCACCGCTGAGCGCCGTCGCTTGGACCTCCTCGACAACGTCCTCTGTTGCTTTGGCAGCGGCGGCGTGCTCGGACTCGCTGGTAGCGCCGCTCGAGCTCGGGTCGGGCGACCGCCCCCGCCTTCCAGCGACGCGCCTTCGGGCGCCTGCAGGCGCCTCGCCCGCCTCCGCCCCCAGGTCGCGAGCCGCCGCCCCCACTGCAGCCGGCCGCCGCGCCAGGAGCGGCGGTGTCGGCAGGGGCGTTCTGCCAGCCGCAGGCGCCGGCAGCCCTCGCGCAAGCGCCCTCGCCCGCGCGGGCCGGCATGGCGCCGAGGGGCCCGCGGCCGCCGACGCGATTGCACTTTCGCTCCTGCGACGACGGAAATTTGAAGCCAGTTTGAGCCAAAATGCCTTCGGACCGAACGGAAGACCCACAACTCTGACTGCGACAAGACTGGAAATCGTCATCGGGAAGGCTCTCGCCCATACTGGCGCGCACTGCAACATTCAAATTCGCCACGGGATCCTCTCGCCGACAGCTCACCAGGGTAGAAGTGCGCGCGCAGTCACGGGGGGCGCAAAAAGGCCAGTTGGTCCACGATCATCCTCGCCACCAGAACTGGAGACAGGAGGAGGAGAAGAGGCAGGCAGAGTAACGGGAACAAGACGCGTCATAATATTTGAAGGCTCCCCACCCTCGGCCCGCAACCCCTCGTCACTATTGTCAAGCTCACTCGGGATCCAGCGAACGACCGCCTTCAGGTTTCGACTCAGAAGGTAGGCAGTGAACTTGCGGACCTGCCGCAAAATCGCAAAACTGCGACATCTGCCCTGATCAAACGCCAGCGCACCGCCAAGATTATCAACCAGCAAAACCTGCCGAGCGTAATAACCGAAACGAGCGAGCGCCACGCGTTTCAAGGACCTGACTAGCACGGGCCTGTAAGATGCCGATGCGCTCGCGGCACCCCCGCGCCCCCTGGCCTACCGCCCGCCAAAGCTGGTTGGAAAGAAGCCCTCTGGGAACCCCCCTGAAGTCGGGGTCCATCTCGTAGTTCCCCCCGGGCAAAATCGATTCGGCAAAACTCCGTCTCCCCTCGTCAACCACGAGCTCGGCCTCCTCCCCCCACGTCTCCGGGAAGCCCCCAAGACCAGCCGCAGTTAAAGCCGAACGACGAGCATTGGCCCCTCCCTCCGCCCTGGACCGCCTCCTCTCACGACAGCGGCCCACGACATTCAAAAAGCCGAGATCCCAGGGGGCCCCAGCGATCTCAAAGCGACTTTCAGACGAACCCGAACGCTGGAACCATCGGTTGCACGGGAGCCACCAATCAGCGACGATCACAGGGAGCAACCCACGGAAAGCAAGCACCTCGCCCCGCCAACTTTGTCCCTACCTAGGCTCTGCCTACAAGGGTTATTACTCGGTATGCTTAAAGGGCCGGGCAGTGCAACGCGCCCCGGGCGGTTCCCCCAGCATCCGCCCCGCGCTTCCCCCAGCTACGTCCCCTTAGCTTAGCGTTGCTTATCGCATCTTAGCTTAAACTAGCTTAACTTAGCTTAGCTTACCTTAGCTTAGCTTCGCTTAGCTTAGCCTAGCGTAGCTTAGCTTTGCTTAGCTTAGCCTACCCTAGCTCCGCTTACCTTTGCTTAGCTCAGCTTAGCTGAGCTGAGCTGAGCGCAGCATTAGCATAGCATAGCATAGCATAGCATTAGCATAGCATAGCATATCATAGCATATCATAGCATTAGCATAGCATAGCATAGCATCGCATAGCACTAGCATTAGCATAGCATAGCATTGCGCAGCATAGCATAGCGCAGCATGGCATAGCATCGCATAGCATGACATATCATAGCATACCTTAGCTTAGCATAGCACAGCGCAGCAAAGCATAGCACAGCATAAATAAGTATATCATAGCGCAGCAAAGCATAGCATAGCATAGCATAGCATAGTATATCGCCGCAGATCATCGCATAGCACAGCATAGCATAGCGCAGCATATCATAGTATAGTACAGCATAGCATAGCGCCGCATATCACTAGCCTAGCATAGCCTAGCATAGCATAGCGCAGCATATCATAGCATATCATAGCGCACCATATCATATCATATGAGATCATAGCATATCATATCATAGCGCAGCATAGCATAGTATAGCATAATTTAGCAGCATACTGCTACAACTGCGACGATGAGGAGAAGGAGGAGGACGGCGTTTACCGTTACGACTAATATTGGTCTCCTCGGGGCTCCAACTCCTAGGTAGGGTCGCTCTGGGATGGTCCAAAATGGAGCTGCGTCACCTTTCATTTTGATGACGGAACGATAACAAGCGCGAAATACCGACAGCACGGGGCGCCCGACAGGGCCCAGGCACGCGCAGTGGCCCAGCAGCACACTAAGGTCGTCTCCCCGCACTGCCCGCTACTGCACTATCCCGACGATCGCCTGGCGCACCCTCCAGAGCCTCTTCAGCGACGGCTGGATCTCAAGCCTTCGCCCGCCCAAGACGACGCCTAATACCTCGACGCCATCGCTTCGCACCTCGCGTCCGTGCACGCTGAGGCCCGCCTTCTCGAAGGCCTGGAGGAGCTCGTCTTGGCTGTAATTCACGCGGTCGCCATGCTGCCCGATCACGCCCACGTTGTCGACGCGCACGCAGTGCCCCAACTGCTCTGAGCCAACCGCGAACCTCAACACCAGCGGCTGTCCTAAGTCACTCAGGGGCTGGGCTCCTCGCAGGCTCGGCGCAAACTGGCATCGGAGCTCTGTCGCGCTCCGAAACATGTAGAGGCCCCACGTGCAGCCCACCGGCAACGCCTCAGGGACTGGGCAGAGCACGTCGTCGCAGCTCAGAAAATGACCCTCTAACTCGGCACCGCGCAGCTGCAGATCTCCAGCCCTGAGCCCTGGAAGCCCGACGAGCCTCTTACCCAAGGGGGCAGCCGCGTCCGATGGAAGGCGCCCTTCACGTCGGCGACCCGCGCGGCCATGGAGGCGGCCTGCACGCGGTCGCTGGCCCACCCCCCACCTCCACGAGCTCGAAGGCCGAGAGCCCCTCGGCAGTCAAGCGTTGAACAGGTGGAGGTTCAATCAGCCAAGCATTGCTCCGACGACAATATAGAATCACACGCGACTTCTCCCCTCCTCTCTTCCACGAAGAAAATACCCACCATCTCACGACGCGTCAGCGTCGGAAGGCTTATTAGGAGGCCCCCCCTCGTTATCTTTGCCGTCGCCCTCGGGAGGACATGAATCAGCACCTGCGAGGCTGCGACCTCAAGCGCTCAAGAACCCCATGCCATCCATGGCCCGCCGCGTTCCGAAGCTCCTCAACCCGGGGGCCACCACGTTGCCTGGACCTGAATCTCCTGTCAAGCACCGAGCCATGCGCCAGTTGGCAGGCGCACCCGGCGCCAAGCGCGCTTCCGTGATCACCTGAATGCGCCTCGTCAGCCTCTCCATGTAGCGGAGCCCGCGCAGGCTCAGCCGATCGTAGCTACCTGCCAGCTGCAACCCATGGTACAAGACCTCCATTTCGTGGAAGATGCGGTCCTGGCGCTCCACGCGGTGCTCTCGCGATCACTCCGAGAGCCACCTCATCGGGCCCTCACCGTTCTTGTACATGGCATTCGCTAAGAACACCACCGAGACTGGACCTTCGATCGGATCGTCCTCGCATGACTGTGCCGAGATTTCATTCACCACCGTCCTCCAGTCCTTGCGGCGTTCGCCGTGCCAGTCGAAGTCCACGCTTAGGGTGCGGATATCCTCCGCAGGTCCGACTGGCATATGGCCGCTTGGCTCACGGCCTCCTCCACCAGCATCAACTGCATCGAATCCTGGACGCCTTCTCACCTCATCCTCAGGATCAACCGCATCATCAGGACCTCCGAGACCACGACGGAAACGGGACACCTGTTCGCTGGCGAGCCTCGAAGCCTCAATCACTGCGGTTCTCTTCGCGCGACTCACCTGGGCCCCCGAAGTACTTCAGGCCGCCCCCTCCAAAGATGACGTCGGAAGCATTAATAGTTACCTCCTCGCCGATACCCTGGCGACCGCACGTTTCCATCAGTATCCAAATACTCTCTGACGAAAAGGTGTCGGTCCCGCCTGCAGGAGCCGCAGCGACGGGTCCAGCAAGAAGAAGGGTATGTTCGTCGCGCCGTCCTGTCGCATCAAACGCATATTTAGGCCAATAATCCAAGACCTGGCCACGAGCTGCCTCGATGTCACGGCAGCCCTTACCCAGGATCAACACATCGTCGAGCGAAGGGCGCTCCCTGAACGTTACAGCCGCCGCGCGCCCATGGCAGGGCAGCCCACAGCAGGGAGTGGCCGAGCACCGTTGAGACCATGTTCGGGGTCTCGTCCGTCCAACTGCTCTTTCCAAACATCCCCCATCACGCGAGAGCACCCACCACATCGCGGCGTCGACAGGTTCCACGCCGTCGGGCTATTGTCGAGTTCCTGGCCACACCAGGATCCGTTCGTGGTCGACGTCGTCGTCGCTGTGGCTCACGCGAGCTCTGGAGCCGACCTCGGCCCTGGTCCCGAACTCCTGCTCCCCTGCGGCGAGGCGCAGCGGCACGAGCGCGGCCGCCATCTTCGCTGGCGAGCTCGGCCTGCGCGGCCTGGCGCCGTTCGCGGCGGAGCCGTCACAGCACGCCTCCAGCCACGTGCCCGACCCGCCAGGCGAGCGGCCAGCTCCAGGCCAGCGTGCCCTGTTCCTCCACCGCCTCCGCCACTGGGCACTCCAGCGGCTCGACGGTCGGGCAGGTCGGCTCGACGCCGAGCGGTCCCGAGGGCGCCTCGGGCACGGGAGCGGGCGGCGATCCTCCCGCCGAGCGCACTATGGCGGCCTCGCGCTCCCAGGCCCGCTGTGACACGTAATCCTGGCCGAGGTGGGCTGCCTACAACCAGAGAATCGCCCAAACAGGGAGGTTCGGCGGGACATGGGCGAGCATGCATCCCTGAAGCAAAAGGGGCTACAGAACAAGCGATGGTGCACAACCCTGCTACCCCGCTCTGCCGCTGATGCTACGACACCACACTCCCCGCTAATCATGCCCGTGCACTCACCCAATATCACCATCACCATCACCATCATCATCTTCATCAGCCCCATCATCACCATCATCATCGTCATCATCATCCTCATCCATATCATCATCATCATCATCATCATCATCATCATCATCATCATCATCATCATCATCATCATCATCATCATCATCATCATCATCATCATCATCATCAGCATCATCATCATCATCATCATCATCATCAGCATCAGCAGCAGCATCATCATCATCAGCAACAGCACCAGCATCAGCATAATCAGCATCCTCATCATCAGCAGCATCAGCATCATCCTCATCATCCTCATCATCAACAGCATCATCAGCATCAGCATCATCATCCGCATCATCATCATTATCGTCATCATCAGCAGCAGCAGTATCATCATCAGCCTATCTACCATCCGTATCAGCATCATCATCGTCGCCATCGTCGTCATCATCATCATCATCCTTCAACTCCTCCGCTTCTTCCTCTGCTCCTCCCCCTCTTCCCCAGCGCGGAAAGGCGAACGATGTGGCGGAGAGAGGGAGAGGCGGAATAGGGAGGCCGCATACAACACGAATTCTAGACGGGCCACTCCGATGCGTCCTGCGAGACCCCGACGTCCATCCAGTCGATTTGCATGACAGGAAGGCCACCAGCGTCAGGAAATTGGCTGATGATCGCAGTCTCGGTGCAGTCGAAAATCCCAGCGCACCTTGGCACGGGCGAGCCTCACCGACTCGCAGCCTCTTGGCGTACACTGGCGATCAATAGACACGTGTTTTATGGCAGCCGTTTCTTTTCCTCCGATCTTCTCCAGGGCCAGGCGTTGTAGAGCATAGCAGAAATCAAGACGTCTTACAATTTGAAGATGGGTGCACCTCTTCAAGACAACACATTCCGCGAACGACTCCAACACATGCACTCAGAGCCTGGCGTCACCAAAATAATCGGAACGTTTGGTTTTCCTCACCTCCACCTTTGAAGGCCCGCTTCGGGCCCCATGTCAGAAAACGCATCGGAATAGAAAACTGCCCCGAGGATAGGGTCGGGAGTCGGGAGGCCAGGAGGGGGGACGCGTCATGAAAGAACAGAACGTCGGATGCGAGGGTGCAATCATGCTTGGGCCCCAATGTCAGCATTGAGTGGGAAACCTTCCCCATGGCACATCCTATCGCTACCCCCCCTGCTGACTCCAGGTCCACAGACACGTTCAGAGGTACATAGGTTGATCCCACATCGGCGAGAGAGAGAGAGAGAGAGACAACAAAAAACGGCTCACGAACCCGGAAAAGGAATATAGAAATGTGAGACATGGCAACGTGTTCAAAACACCTCATTGGGCGATGGGCAATTGCAATGCTGAATGTATCGACCTTGATGTACCGTGCCAAGGGCTGCGCTGTGCTGCGCCGTGCTGAATTGCGATGTGCCATGCCGCGAGTGTGCTCTATAGCGTTGTGGATTGAGCCCTCCTTTGCATCCGAGTCCTGACCGAACTGGTCTGGTTCTTAAGCTCGAGCTGCCTGAGCATATCTTAGCTGCCCCAGAGCTAGTTGAAACGTGCGGGACGTTCAATCAGCTCGACCTCGAAATCCGAATCAGTTCCGAAAAGGAACGACACGACACGGGGCACAGGCTCACGGACGCACCTCAGGGTGTGCCAGGGGCGCAATAGGGGATGCCAGGGCGCGTGTCAGGAGACGTATCAGGGGACGTGCCCTGGACGCGTCATTGCCATGGGACGTGCCAAGGTGGGGCGGCCAGAGGACGTCATGCCAAGGGACGTTGCCAGGGGCGCGCCACGGAACGGGCAAGGGAAATGCCTGGGGACGAGCCAGGAAACGCGACAGAGGACAAGCCAGGGAACGTGCCACGCCGAGTGGCGTGCCAGGGGACGTGCCAGGGCACGTCACGCCAGAACGTCGCAAGGGACGCGCCAGGGGACGCGCCAGCGCGCCAGGGGATGCCCCACAGGCGGGCGGGGTTGGACTGCGATGCACTCTACTGCGACAAGCATTTCGCTCGAGACATCAAATCCTCATGTCAGACATCCGCCTGGGCGACCTGGACACGTGAAAACAAGCGTCTCGCTCGAGATATCCTCAAAAACAGCCTCATGTTAGACATCCGCCTGGGCGACCTGGACACGTGAAAACAAGCGTCTCGTTCGAGACATCCAAAAAAACATCCTCATGTTTGACATCCGCCTGGGCGACATGGACACGTGAAACCAAGCGACCTAAGCAAGTGAAAACAAGCGTTTCGGTAGAGACGTTCTCAGCACATCCTCATGCTAGACATCCGTCTGGACGACCTGGCGTGACACCAAGCGTGTCGCTCGAGACATCCTCAACAAATCCTCATGCTAGACATCTGCCTGGGCGACCTGGGCGCGTGAAATCAAGCGTCTCGCTTGAGACATTCACGACAAATCCTCATGCTAGACATCTGCCTGGGCAACCTGGACGCGTAAAACCGAGCGTCTCGCTCGAGACACCTTCAAGACCTGGGCACAAAAAACAGGCAGTTCACATGAATTCTGGTCCACAGGGGAGGAACAATCCATACACAAAAGAAACGTTTCGCACGAGGCGGCATCGTCAACACATTCTGCAAAACAAGCGTTGCGCTCGAGACATCCGCAACAAACGAAAATGTGTACTTCACTACGTGTTTTATCGATCGGAATTCCAAACAAGCATGAAAACACATGGGCTCCTTTCGCGCCGGAGCGGAACAAGCGTGAAAACACATGCTTCCAGCTCGGAACCACCATGTTAGAGACCCCGCTTGGCGACCTGGGCCAGTGAAAACAAGCATTTCGCCTGAGATATCCTCTGAGTTCTGGCCCCCACGAAGCCTCCGCTGGAGACATCCCCCAACTCTGCAAAACCAGCGTTTCGCCTGAGACATCCTCAACACATGCATATCAACCAAGCGTTTCGCTAGGGACATCCTCAAAATTCAATTCCGCCAGCCCTCTTCGACCTCGATATATCGCAGAATAATTCCGCTGGTCTCCCTCAAGACGAGGCCAGGGGGTTAACCTGTACAAGAGATACCTGGGCCTACGCCCTTTCCTGAAAAATCGAAAAAGAGAAAGAGCGAGAGAAGAAAACATGATCGACCCACGAACCCGGTTCTGTAGCGTTGTGGATCGAGTCCTCCTTTGCATCCGAGTCCCGACCGAACTGATTTCTAAAGCTCGAGCTGCCTGGGCACATAGTAGCTGCCCCGAGCTAATTGACAAGGGGACATGCGAGGAGGACGCGCCGCGGAACGTCCCAAGGGACGCGCCAGGCGACGTGCCAGGGGACGTGCCATGGGGACTCACCGCGGGACGTGCCAGGGGACGCGCCGCGCAACGTACCAGGGGGACGCGCCACGCAACGTGCCAGGGAGCGTGCCAAGTTGAAATGCTGCATGTATCGATCTTGATATACCGTGCCGAGGGCTGTGCTGTGCTCCGCCAGGCTGAACTGCGATATGCCATGCGGGGATTGTGCTGTATAATTCACGCTTGTCCCGCCCTGGGGCGTTAGGAACCGATGTGTTTTCACGCTTCTCGAGCCTCCTGGGACCTCCTGGGGGGCGGGGGGAAGCGAAAAGCGCTCCCCAAACACATATCCCAATACAGAAACATGATCGACCAACGAACCCGAAAAGGAATATAGAAATGTAAGGCTTGGCAAATCTTCAAAAACACATGATTGGGCGACGGGCAGACGCAATGCTGAATGCATCGAGTTTGATGTACCGTGCCGAGGGCTGTGCTGTGCTGCGCCATGCTGAATTACGATTTGCCATGCCACGATTGTGCTCTGTAGCGTTGGGGATCGAGTCCTCCTTTGCATCCGAGTCCTGACCGAGCTGATCTGGATCTTCAGCTCGAGCTGCCTGCACATAGTAGCTGCCCCAGAGCTACTTGGCATGGGGGACATGCCAGGAGGACGCGCCGCGGAACGTCCCAAGGGACGCGCCAGGCGACGTGCCAAGGGACGTGCCATGGGGACGCACCGCGGGACGTGCCAAGGGGACGCGCTACGGAACGTGCCAATGGACGTGCCGCGGGACGTGCCAGGGGACTCGCCGCGCGACGTGCCAGGAGGACTCGCCACGGGACGCGCCACGGAACGTGCCAAGAATCGCGCCAAGTTGCAATGCTGAATGTATAAATCTTGATGTACCGTGCCGAAGGCTGTGCTGTGCTGCGCCGTGCTGAATTGCGGTGCGCCATGCCGCGATTGTGCTCTATAGCATAGTGGATCGAGTCCTCCTTTGCATCCGAGTCCCGACCGAACTGATCTGGATCTTAAGCTTGAGCTGCATCGGCACATAGTAGCTGCCCCCGAGCTAATTGACATGGGGGCATGTCTGGAAGACTCGCCGCGGAACGTCCCAAAGGACGCGCAAGGCGACGTGCCAGGGGAGATGCCATGGGAACGCACCGCGGGACATGCCAAGGGGACGCGCTACGGAACGCGTCAATGGACGTGCCACCTCATGCTAGACATCCGCCTGGGCGAACTGGACACTTGAACACACAAGTGGTTCGCTCGAATCACCCTCAAAGCATCTTCATGTCAGACGTCCGTTCCAGGCCCCCCGGAAGGCCCCAGGAGACCAATGTTAGATACCCCCTAGGTGGCCTGGACACGTAAAAGCACCTGGTTCCGCCATGTTAGATACACCCTGGGCGGCTGGACACGTAAAACCAGGTGGCGCCAGCTCGGGGGAACCATGTCAGATATGCCCTTAGGTGGCCTGGACATAAAACACGTGGTTCCAGCTCGGGACAACCATGTTAGATACCCCCATGCGTGGCCTGGGTACGCTGAATTGGCGCCCCCGCTCGAGACATACTCGCAGTGTCTTCCCTGGAGAGGCCCCCAAAGCGCCACCCCCTGTCCAGAGCAAGAAAACATCACGTTGCGTTGTTGGGACAGGTGTTGGGGTAGCGTTGTTCGGCACCCCGTGCGTTTCCTGATACTTCGGCGTTGGGCCCGACGCCATGTTAGATAACCCCCTAGGCGGCCTGGACACGCAAAAACACGTGGTTCCAGTTCGGGGCAATCATGTTGGATACCCCACTGGGTGACCTGGACACGTAAAAACACTTGGATCCAGCTCTGGGCAGCCAGGTTAGATACACCCCTGGGTGACCTGGACACGTTAAAACACGTGGTCCTTGCTCGGGACAACCATGTTAGATACCACATGCGTGGCCTGGACACGTAAAAACAAGTGGTGCCAGCTCTGGGCAACCATGTTAGATACACCCTTAGGTGGCCTGGACACGTTAAAAACAAGTGGGGTCAACTCGGGACAACCATGTTAGATACCCCCCTGCGTGGCCCGGATACGCTGAATTTGCGCTCCCGCACGAGACATCCTCGCAGTGTCTTCCCTGGAGGGCCCCCAAAGCGTCACCCCCTGTTCAGAGCAAGAAAGCATCACTTTTCTGTTTTGGGATATGGGTTCGGGTAGCGCTGCTCGGCCCCCCGTGCGTTTCCTGATAATTCAACATTGTGCCCGACGCCATGTTAGATGCCCCCTAGGCGGCCTGGACACGCAAAAACACGTGGTCCTTGCTCGGGACAACCATGTTAGATACACCCCTGGGTGGCCTGGACACGTTAAACCACGTGGCTCCAGCTCGGGACAACCATGCTACCCCCTGGGTAACCTGGACACGTTAAAACACGTGGTCCTTGCTCGGGACAACCATGTCATATACACCCCTGGGTGACCTGGACACGTAAAAACGTCGGCGCCACCTCTGGGCAACCATGTTAGATACACCCCAAGGGTGGCCTGGACACGTGAAAACACGCGGTCAGTGCTCGGGACGTGGTGCTAGCTCGCGAAAACCATGCTAGACACACCCCTGGGCGGCCTGGACATGTAATTCACGTGGTTCAAGCTCGAGACAACCATGTTAGATGCCCCCCTGGGTGGCCTGGACATGTGAAAACACGCGGTTCCAGCTCGGGACAACCATCTTAGATACCCCCCTGCGTGGCCCGGATACGCTGAATTAGCGCTCCCGCACGAGACATCCTCGCGCTGTCTTACCTGGAGAGGCCCCCAAAGCGCCACCCCCTGTCCAGAGCAAGAAAACATAACTTTTCTGTTTTGGGGTATGTGTTCGGATAGCGCTGTTCGGCCCCCCGTGCGATTCCTGATAATTCGGCGTTGGGCCCGACGCCATGTTAGATACACCCTGAGCGGCCTGGACACGTAAAAACACCTGTTTCCAACTCCGGACAATCATGTTGGATACCCCCCTGGATGGCCTGGACACGCAAAAATATTAGGTTCCAGCGCAGGACCACCATGTTAGATACCCCCCTGGGCGGCGTGGACACGTAAAAACACGTGGCTCCAGCTCCAGACCACCATGTTAGATACAACCTGGGTGGCCTGGACACGTGAAAGCACTTGGTTCCAGCTCGGGACCACCACATTCGATACCCCCCTGGGTGGCCTGGACACGCGAAAACACTTGCGTCCAGCCCACCCAGGGGAGATATCTAACATGCGGTCATCTAGGGCGCCAGTCAGGGGCAGCCATGTTAGATACCCCCTGGGCGACCTGGGCACGTGAAAACAAACATTTCGCCTGAGACGTCCTCTTAATTCTGGCCCCGAAGCCCCCGCTCGAGACATCCCCCAACTCTACTAAACCAACGTTTCGCCTCAAAATTGTGTATAAAACACGCGTCTCGCTAGGGACATCCTCAATTTTGCCACGCCGAATAGAACTTGACCTCGTTATCTATCGCAAATAATGTCGCTGGCCGAAACCAAACACGGGTTTCGCTAGGGACATCCTCAATTGTTCCACGCCGAATGGGGCGTCACCTTGTTATTTATCGTAAATCATTCCGCCGGCGGATTCCAAACACGCGTTTCGCAAGGGATATCCTCAATTTCCCCACGCCGAATGGAACTTCACCTTTGTTATTTATTGCAAATACTTCCGCCGGCGGAAACCGGGAGGAAACAAAACTAAACGAGAACCCTGGGCCCGCGCCCCTTCCGAAAACTAAAAGAGAACCCTGGGCCTCTGCCCTTCCTGGGGAAACACAATTTATAGAGAGAGGACGTTTCATGACCGCCAAGGCCGAACAAGGAAGGAGGAGGGCTGAGGAGTGACAGGACGATCGGTCTCCTTGGGGCCCAGTCTCGGGCAGCTCGGCTCCGTGGGCGTTCGGTCGATTCCCGCTCAGCACAGGCATACATTCCTAGCGCACTAAGCCAAGCGCCTATCGTGTTGAAACCTCATGATGTCCATCTCATAGTCCTCAAGACTAAACTGCTCAGCCGAAACGACACACAAGTCGACTGCGATTATCCCCAAAAAGCGTTACCAGGGCTACTGCACGGAGCGCTGGCGAGCAAGGGATCCGCGAGCGCGCTGCCAGCAATGAAGTTTTCTGCTCTCACTCTTCTTGTTCCGAGGCCTGCCACGGCGGGGCCCTGGCACCCCAAGGCGGAGCGCGTCGGGCCCCTCGGACCTGGCATGCTACTAGTACCCACCCTGGGCCCTTAGGCCACCCTTCGCCCTCTGCCGCGTACTCTCTCTCTCTCTTTCTCTCTCTTTCTCTCTCTCTCTCTCTCTCTCTCTTTTTCTATCTCTCTCTCTCTCTCTCTCTTTCTCCCTCGCTCTCGTTGTTCTTCCTTTGTCCCTCCATTCCTCTTCCTTCTGAACAACTCCTTCCTGTCGCACCCCGGAGCAAGACGAAAGGGCGGGCCGGGCGTCGTTTCGCCCCAGATTTCCTTACCATGTATGAACCTGGAGCTGAGAAACTGGCAACGGCATCACAGATGGAGGGGGGATCGCTTCCACAATGTGGATATCGCCTTTGCGCCGCGCAAACTCGCCTTAAACATGATCGACCCATGAACCCAGAAAAGAAGATAGAAATGTAAGGCATGGCAACGTTTCAAAGACACCTGATTGGGCGACGGGCAAATGTAATGCTGAATGTATCGATCTTGATGTACCGTGCCGAGGGCTGTGCTGTGCTGCGCCATGCTGAATTGGGACGTGCCATGCCCCGATTGTGCTCTATAGCGTTGGTGGATCGAGTCCTCCTTTGCATCCGAGTCCTGACCGAACTGATCTGGATCTTAAGCTCGAGCTGCCAGGGCACATAGCTGGTTGAGAAGTAGTTGACAGGGGGCATGCCAGGAGGACGCGCCGCAGAACGTCCCAAGGGACGCGCCAGGCGACGTGCCAGGAGACGTGCCATGGGGACGCACCGCGGGACGTGCCAAGGGGACGCGCTACGGAACGTACCAATGGACGTGCCACGGGACGTACCAGGGGACGCGCCGCGCGACGTGCCAGGGGGACTCGCCACAGGACGCGCCACAGAACGTGCAAAGGAACGTGCCAGGTTGCGATGCTGAGTGTATCGATCCTTATGTACCGTGCCGAGGGCTGTGCTGTGCTGCGCCGTGCTGAGTTGCGATGTGCCATGCCGCGATTGTGCTCTACAGCATTGTGGATGCCCCAGAGCGAATTGACAGGGGGACATGCCAGGAGGACACGCCGCGGAACGTCCCAAGGGACGCGCCAGGCGACGTGCCAGGGGACGTGCCATGGGGACGCACCGCGGGACGTGCCAAGGGGACGACGCGCTACGGAACGTGCCAATGGACGTGCCACGGGACGTGCCAAGGGACGCGCCACGCGACGTGCAAGGGGGACTCGCTACGGGACGCGCCACGGAACGTGCCAGGGAACGTGCCAGGGAACGTGCCAGGTTGCAATGCTGAGTGCATCGATCTCGATGTACCGTGCCGAGGGCTGTGCTGTGCCTGGGCGACCTGGACACGTGAAAGCAAGCGTTTCGCTCAAGACATTCTCAACACATCCTCATGCTAGGCATCCGCCTGGGCGACCTGGACACGTGCAAACAAGCGTCTCGATCGAAACTTCCTCAACAACTCCTCATGCTAGACATCCGCCTGGGTGACCTGGACGCGTGAGAAAAAGTGTCTCGCTCGAGACACCTTCAACAAATCCTCATGCTAGACATCTACCTGGGCAACCTGGAGGCGTGAAACCAAGCGTCTCGCTCGAGACATCCTCGAGACCTGGGCACGTGCAAACAAGTATTTCACTTGAGAGATCCTCTGAATTCTGGTCTCCAGGAGAAAACAATCTACAACACAAAACAAGCGTTTCGCTCGAGACATCCTCAAACAAAAAATCCGCCCGCCCGCGGACCTGGCTAATTCGGGCTGGGCGAAAGGGGGGGATAACAAAGGAGGGAGGGGAGAATCAGCTCACGTAGCTGAGGTTCCCAGCGCCTCCCGGCGCCGGAGGCGGCCATGTATCGAGGAATGGGCCCCTCGGTGGGGCTGAAACCAGCTGCATGCAGCAGATTGCGTACCCCCCCCCTTTCCCTATCCCCCCCTTTCGTTCGGCCCGACTAACTACCGCAGAATAATTATGCCGGCCCTCTTGCCGTCGAGGCAGGGGGGGGAAACCTCGAAAAAGGAACCCTGGGCCGGAGCCGGACCTCTTCGACCTGGTTAACTATCACAAATAATTCCGCAAGCCCTCTTGCCGTCGAGGCAAGGGGGAACCCTCTAGAAGAGAACCCTGGGCTGGAGCCCTTCCTGGGAAAAACTGCAAGAGCTTCACGAAGTGACGGCGGGTGGTTTTCAAGATGTGGCTCTCGCCTGAGCGCCGCACACACTCGTCTTAAACATGATCGGCGCACGAACCCGGAAAGACAGGTAGAAATGTAAGGCATGGCAACGTTTTCAAAAACACCTGATTGGGTGACGGGCAACTTTAATGCTGAGTGTATCGATCTTGGTGTACCGTGCCGAGGGCTGTGCTGTGCTGCGCCGTGCTGAATTACGAGGTGCCATGCCGCGATTGTGCTCTATAGCGCTGTGGATCGAGTCCTCCTTGGCATCCGAGTCCTGACCAAACTGATCTGGATCGTAAGCTCGAGCTGCCTGAGCCTGGGAGACCTGGACACGTGAAAACAAGTGTTGCGCTCAACACATTCTCAATACATTATCATGCTAGGCATCCGCCTGGGCGACCTGGACACGTGCAAACAAGCGTCTCGATTGAAACTTCCTCGATAGCTCCTCATGCTAAACATCTGCCTGGACGGCCCTGACGCGTGAAAACAAGCGTCCCGCTCACGACATCCTGAACACATCCTGATGCTAGACATCTGCCTGGGCGACCTGGACACGTTAAAACAACTGTCCCTCTCGAGACATCCTCAACAAATCCTCATGTTAGACATCCGCCTTGTCCCGCCCTGGGGCGTTAGCACGTTCCCCAGTAAATTACGCTGTGTCCGCCCCCCAGGGCCACGATCCCTCGTAATTTACGCTGCGTCCGCGTCCCCAGGGCCACGATCCGTTGTAAATCTTAAGCTGCGTCCACGCTCCCAGGGCCAGGATCTCTCGTAAAATACGCTGCGTCCGTGCTTCCAGGGCCACGATCCCCCGTAAACTACGCTGCGTCCGCTCTCCCGGGGCCACGATCCCTCGTAAAGTACGCTGCGTCCGCTCTCCCTGGGCCACGAGCCCCTGTAAAGTACGCTGCGTCCGCGTTCCCAGGGCCACGATCCCTCGTAAACTACGCTGCGTCTGCGCTCCCAGGGCCACGATCCCTCTTAAAGTACGCTGCGTCCGCGCTCCCAAGGCCGCCCTCCATAATAAATTACGTCGCGTCTGCACTCCCAGGGCCACGATCCGTTGTAAAGTACGCTGCGTCCGCTCTCCCTGGGCCACGATCCCTCGTAAAGTACGCTGCGTCCGCGTTCCCAGAGCCACGATCCCTCGTAAACTACGCTGCGCCCGCGCTCCCAAGGCCACGACCCCTCGTAAATTACGCGGCACCCCCGCTCCAAAGGCCGCGATCCCTTGAAAATTACACGGCACCCGAACTCCCAGTGTGGCACGATCCCTCGTAAATTATACGGCGTCCGCACTCCCAGGGCCAGGATACCATACAAATTACGCTGGATTTGCGCTCCCAAGGCCGCGATCCCTCGTAAATTACATTGTGTTTGCGCTCCCACGGTCACGATCCCGCGAGAAATACGCGGCCTCCGCGCTCCCAGGGCCAGGATCCCTTGTAAATTGCGCGGCGTCCGCGCTCCCAAAGCCGCGATCCCCCGTAAAGTACCTTGGGTTTGCGCTCCCAGAACCCCCTGGGCATCCTGGAGCGCCCAGGCCCGTCAAATATTACAAAACGAGCGTTTCGCTCCAGATATCCCAAGAATTTCTGCGCGCAGGACGCGCCATCCTGGAGCGAGCACGCAGAAAGTGTACATTTACACATTTTGTGTGTCCCGGTCGGGGCTTCAGACTTCGGTTTTTCTTAGTGATTCTGCTAATAATGCATCGCGTCTTTTCTTTACAAGGGAAAACGAATGTCTGCAGACCCAGTTATTGATCGAGGATCCGAGATGGGGGGCGCACTTTCCTCGAGCGGGCATGCGCGAAACGCCTTTTTGCCATGCCGAATTGGACTTTACTTCCCTGTTTATCGCAAAAAGAACCCGCCGGCCTCCCCAAATCAAAACCGAGGTTGACAAAATTATCCTGGCAAAGCAACCTAACAGCGATGTGTAGGAGCATATCTGGAAGCATTCCCCTTAAGATTCAGATGAGAATCCAGTTGTAGAATTCTGCTGTTCTCGCAGTCGTAGTCGCATTCGCGATGACAGTCGCAGTGGCAACGGCAGTCGCAGTCACAGCCTCAGCCTCAGCCTGCCTCAGCCTCAGCCTCAGCCTGCCTCAGCCTCAGCCTGCCTCAGCCTCAGCCTCAGCCTGCTTCAGCCTCAGCCTCAGTCTGCCTTCAGCCTCGGCCTCAGCCTCAGCCTGCCTCAGCCTCAGCCTGCATCAGCCTCAGCCTCAGCCTCAGCCTGCCTCAGCATCAGCCTGCCTCAGCCTCAGCCTCAGCCTGCCTCAGCCTCAGCCTCAGCCTGCTTCAGCCTCAGCCTCAGTCTGCCTTCAGCCTCGGCCTCAGCCTCAGCCTGCCTCAGCCTCAGCCTGCCTCAGCCTCAGCATCAGCCTGCCTCAGCATTCAAAATGTGGCCCGGGAATGGAGTTCTGGGAACTCGAAGAACACGAAGTGGCCTACAGTTGGCTCCGGGCATTCAAAATCATGCCCAGGAATGGAGTTCTGGGAACTCGAAGACCACGAAGTGGCCTACAGTTGGCTCCGGGCATTCAAAATGTGGCCCGGGAATGGAGTTCTGGGAACTCGAAGACCACGAAGTGGCCTACAGTTGGCTCCGGGCATTCTAAATG